TGATCAGTGTGCAGATGTGGCTCAAAGGTTTATTCAGATCAGATAAAAACATGCAATTAAAAGAGACACGTTTATTTATGAAACACTTAATTGCATGCCACTTAGATATCACATATCATTGCATATCACAGTTTAGAATACATTTGATGAACTTACTTTTAATTCCTGAAACTTCATTCTCCACAGAAAACTTGTCTTTATTATGGTCTAAGTTGTGCTGTGTGGCATTGTGGAAAATATTGTCTTGTTTAACAGCATTGTCCAAAGATGTGTAAGTGTCTACTAATTCAAACATATGAATTAAAAGAAAAGTAAAGAAAATAGAAAACAGAACAAAGAAAGAAAGAAAAATAAGACAAATAGAAAAATGTCAGTTACAATGCTTTACAATGTATTATAAACTGTTGTATATATATTCTTACGGTCCATAAAATCCCATTTTCAAGATTACTTTTTTGAATTAATGTTCTCAATTGTGTGTTACATGTTATTGCTCTATGAACAATGTATTGTGCACCTACTCTCAGATACTGCATCAGTTATCTTTTGTTTATCCTTGGTCTCTTCTGCTGTGGTGGCAGCCTCCGTCACACCCATAACTGTGTGGATTAACATATTTTAGATATAAATAAGAATTTAAATAAAAATACAAATGAATACAAATGTTAATGCTACCATACGTGCATATTAAAGAGAAGTAAACAAGAAAAGCATATTAGTCCAGGGGGGTTTGAGCGGAGTGGCCACAGGCCTGCATCTACAGCTCATATATATTATCATAAATATCCTGGATCTAATGTATATGCTTAAGATAATAAGGGGGAAATGGTTTGTGGTAAAGTTACAAAGAAAATGATCAGTCCCTTTTATCTTTTTTGATGGTGCTTCCAATGGATCTTGTTGACCTGGTACAAAAAAATATATATATATATTGTAAACTAAAATATATATTGAAATTGTTTCATAATATTCATAGAAAAAAATCTACTTTGTTTTTAAGAAAAATCCAGAACTGTTACCGTCAGGTGATAATGCACGTGCTTTTTTGTCACTGTACAGTGGAGCTTTGCGAGGAGTCTCTTGATACTGTAGAACCTCAAAGTTCCTGTTCATATCTTCTATTCCTGGCTTACTACGAGGATCTGAATGGGAGTTGTCTGGATTTTTCCGTTTAGAATCCCTGCTGTCCATGTTGTTGATATATTTAGGCAGAATAATGACCGACAAATTCTGAATTCTGAGTAAAATTATGATGGGGAGTCTTTTCAGCTCTGAGATATTAAAATCGAAAGAAAAAAACAATCAAAAATGTGTCACATTGCATTTACATTGTGTTCCAACACATTAATATAGTTTTAATATAGTTAGTAGTTAATCCTATAGTTATAATATATTTTGCTTTCATTTCTGATTGTCAGTCATATTTGGGCATATCAGACTAATCATTAAGAAATTATTTACTTCAGTCCCTCTAAAGTCTCTACAGAGACACAAGAGCCGTTTAAACGGGATGCGTCAAAGCGACTGTTCCTGTACTCTTCCATTTGTCCTGTTTGTTATCCAGAGTAGTTTAAGTATGTGGAGTATCATTAGAAACTGAATACTGTTCTGGCATCGCATCACGTACACACACACACACACACACACACACACAGGAACGAGCGAGGAGACGAGGAACTAAGTAAATCAAAAGGGTTTTAATGGAGGCACGCTGGGGATCACAGGACGGGAGACATCAGGCAAACAAAATGACATTTAACAGCAGACAGAGAACTGGAAACGAAGAACACTTTAAATACACAGACACCAATGGGACACACCTGGGAGCAAATGAACTAATTAATCAAAACACAGCTGGAGACGAACAGACACAACGAGGACAGGAACAGAGAACAGGAAGAGCCAAATAAGGGCAAGGAAGGCACATGAGGAACAAAATGCACACAAAACATGGACCAGAGTCTGACAGTGTCCAGTTTATTCTGATTATTATAATGGATTCTCGACAGGTAAGGCCTATGGTGTGATGATGTTTAGCTATCGGTCAGTGACTTGCTCTGGAGGCAGTCATATGCAAATGTATTTGCCCTTGCGATGTAACGTGCCTCCTCAAATCTACACAAACCATTTTTGAAGCAATGTTAAATAAATGCATTGATTATAAAGAGAAGGATATTTTAAGCTATGACCTCATTTCTTATGTCTTGACACCCTTGAAAATATTTGAAGAATTTTTTTCAAGAAATGCACTTATATTCTAACAAATGACTTTATCTCAAGAACTTTCTTAACTTCTTTATAGTAAACATTAAAAAAAAACATTAGAAGTAAACATTAAAATGCAGATTCAGAAAGCACAGCTTTAGCTTTAAGTGTACCATTTAACTTTTTTAGTTTGCCAGATAACAAGAAAGAGATTTTGATAACTATTTTCCTCAAAATAAAAATACAGCAATAACCTGTACTGCTAACTATTGCTGTAAGATTTGGAGTAGGTGTATAATTAATTATGTATTCCAGTTATTGACATGCTGTAATTGCTTGAACTCATTCTTTGATATAAGAATAAAAAAAAGGTTGACTTATGTGAATGTACCTTGCAAAATCAAATTTTCCCATATGTCTGGGACACATCTGAACCTGCATTAAAACAAGCAGCAGAAAAAGAAAATCATATGTTAGTAATCCCATTAAGCAGAAACAGTACATGGCATTATTGAAGTCTTACAGAAGCTGTTGCTGAAATGGCACCTACTGTGTTTGGTTTACTTTTCCAACACCCTGGCATACATTACTACAGAACAAATATCTGGTTTTGATTGCAGGTCGGTGCAGGTTGATTGCATGTGGCTGTAAATGTTTTCGGACCACATTAAAAATCATTTCCTTTTAGAGAGGTACACAAATCAAGAAGATACAGATACAGTTGTTTGAATACACATCAAATATTATATGACAAATCCCTAACTAACCTCTTCCACTGCACATTTAGCTGTTGCTCACAGATCACAAAGAGATATTGAACCAATCGAGTGTGAGTTGATATCAAAGGGAGACTGATTTCAAACATGTATCTACAAAAATGTTAACTAAATTTGAAAACGAAAAGAATCAGATATAATGTACGAGATAAAGCAATTCAGTGCAAAAGTAATGACTTCTGTAGAAACACCTGCCACAAAAACTTTAATCAATCTGACAAGAATTACTGAACCTACAACCTGATCATGACACAAAGTAAAAAGTGATAATGAAATGAACTACAGAGTTTTTCTGCCTAACTGAAAATGCAAAGACTCTGAGGAAGACTAAATATTTAAAAGCATTTTAAACTGAATACTGCATTCACTTTCACTCTGTCTCTGAATTATTTTCATTTTAGAAAAACTAGTCAAACTCTTACTTTAGAGAAACGTTCTTCAGTTCATCTCTTTAAAATGCCCCCGACTCAGATGTGTCATCTTAAAACTACATTTGTCAAATGGTTGTGCGCAGCACTGCGGTGATTCTTCATAATGCTGCACAGATGCTGTCTGAAGAAGAGCTCCACCCTGAAGGAAACGAAATCACGTGATTTTTCAGTATCTGAAAGGAAAGAGAAAGTGTCTCGAGCGACACTAAAACAGCAGGCGCCCGCCTGAAAACTGGCTATTTGCGAAATATCTTTATCATGTCAGGAGACGAGAAGCGATATGATGGATCTGAGAAGGACATGCAATTCGTAAGAAAGTGCAGCGATATTGGTAAGTGTGTTACAACCTTCCATTGGACTAAAATAAACTAGAAATTGGTGACGAGGCGTTCTCGAAGAAAATATCTGTTCTTTTTCTAAAACCAAACAGATAGAAAGAGGAAAGTTGTCTTTATATTACATTTGCGTCTGAAGCAATGTTATTTCCCAAACTTGTGCTGGTTTATTCTGCGTTGTACAAAGCCAAACCGCAAGTCGGCAGTAGCAAATCGGTTAAAACGCTGTAAATGCAATGAAAACTCAGCTCAGACATGCATAAAACAGCTTTTACAAACCAAATCCAAATCTTTTATTGAAAGTGTTTTTATCATACAAATGTCAATAAAATGTCTACAAATGACTGAAACTTATTTGAGATCAGGTAAGAACCATATAGACGCTGGTTGATGGCTGCCCAGAACCATCACAACCATTGGTGTAGCAAATCAGCCCTGCGCATCCTATTTTATTTTGACAATTTAGTTGTGTAGTTAAGAAGACAAAGTTTACTGCAGTGATTTTTATTTTTTTTGGAAAGGTATATATATGGCTTTCAAAAGAGAGATATGAGATATCATGTTGCTTAATCTTAAGTCTGAACCTCTGGAATTTTTACAAATTATCAGAAGATAATACACAGATTCAGACATCGTTTAGAATAGTACAAGCTAGAACAGAGAGGAATTAAACAATAGTATAGGGGAATATTTTTTTAGCAGGATGCAGTTAAGTGCTGATGGACGAGATGAGCTTCCAGGATGTTGGTGTAAATGACGTGTAATTTCCCCATCAGATCCATATGATGATGATCCGCACACTTTAAGAGCTCGTTTATCCTGCGGTCATGTCACTGGTCCACAGACACTGACAGACTACTGCAGACTACAGCTGAATGACGTAAGTGCTGTTTAGTTTACATCCTAAACAGATTAATTTTTAATGCTGTTTACCTTTACAATGTTTGAATGTTATTTTTTATATTTAAAGAATGTTTTTCTATTCTCCAATGTTCTGGGTGCATTTCTGAGAGGACAGTATTGAACTATCATGATAATACAGATCATTGCTCAAAATGATTAATTGCAGGGTAAAGCTGAGCTGAGATGCCCTTTGTGTAACGGTCAATGGTCTTACACTGAAGTGCGTAAACTAGCCAAACTCACACCTGAAGAACAGCAATGCTTTGAAGAAACTCTTGCCAACAATGCAACCAGAAAGATAATAGACATTAAGAATGTAAGTATGGTCTCTAAAGCTTTTAATTTTTGAAACTCTCAGAAATTCTCTACATGGTTCAGTTATTGTTCATGTGCTCTTTCTGTCTCACAGTGTCCTGGTTGTGACTGGTTGATTGAGAGATCAAACCCGTCTAATCTCAGCGTGCAGTGCACCGTTTGCTCTGCAAAGAATAAAAAAACCTTTGAGTTCTGCTGGCAGTGTTTGAGAGAATGGAAAGGGCATCAGCCTCGCTCTGATCGATGTGACAATGAAGGCTGCAGCAATAAAGAGCTGGATCTGCTGAGAGATTGTGCAACTATTATTTTAAAAGATGCTGCAAATATTGTATGTCCAGCTGTTCGTGCCTGTCCAACATGTGGTTTGCTGATTGAACACAACTCGGAGAAATGCAAAAACATTACATGCTCTCGGTGTACTAAAGAGTTTTGTTTTGTCTGTCTGAAGCTCACACCTGAATGTGTGAGTACAAGTGATTACTATATTATGTGTTCAGGTGGTGTGGCTCCACGACAGACTTCATTTCCATTTTGGAGAGTTAACCAATAAATTACAAACACAGTTACAGTTATGTGGTAGAATACTATTTAGAAAGCATGTGTAGCATAATGACTAATGTTATTAGCCTATATAAAAGTAAAAGACCAACCCAAAATAATTATTAATGATTAATAATCAAATCTTTCACCCACTGTGTTCCCCTGCCTACCTGCACCCATCTGCTGAGACCATCGCCAGCCTTCAACAGCTGAAGAAACACCTCTTATGCAAGAATTTAGCTCATTCCTGTTCCTCATTTGTAGGTCACTGCGGCTAAAGTTATCTGCTAAATGAAAAAAAATGTTTTATGTTTTTTGAGCTTTTTCTTGTTGCTGTTTAGTGAAGTATACTATTGTACATGTAACATGTTGTAAAGATATTGCATGAAAGATGGTAAGTGGCATTTAAGCTATTTGCTTAATTCAAGACTACTATAGTGAATAAAAAGTGTCATGTATTGTATTCATTGTTTGTTTTGCAGTGAAAGAAACTGTCTGAATATTAAAGAGATTGATAAGATGTACAGTATGAATATGTAATCCTTAATTATCCAAAGTGACTTAAAAGAAAGGGACTGTACATCTGGGGCAACCTAGGGTCACGAAGGTGAGGTCTTCTATGTTTTCAGGGTCAAGATCTTTGAACATTTTCTTTGAACATTCATCACCCACATTCTAATACCTTGCAGGAAACAGGCACACATTTAAAAAATTAAATTCTGGTTTTAATACAATTTTAGATCAGTTAAACTTAAAATTAAAGTTTATTTGTACAGCGCTTTTCACAATACAAATCATTGCAAAGCAACTTTACAGCAAATTAAGTTTCTACAATATATTTAGTGGTAGCTTATCAGTGGTGACTGTCAGTTAATGTACATATGGCAGAAATGTACGGAAAAATCAATTAAAGACGTAATCAAACAGACGATGAACACTATTAACAGCAATTATTATATGATGCAATCAAACTTATAGCAAAATGTGGTAGTTCTGTATGTTGTTTCAGGGTTGGCATCATCTGAGGTCCTCTGAGGGGTTGCATCATCTCTTCTCAGGTGTTCTGGATCCAGACTGAAGCTTGTGTAGATCCTAGTTACCACGGGATGTCAATCTCAGCAGAAACAGAGAAACAAATAGAGACATAATTAGTGTAGCAGCTGTTCCAACCAAGCAAAATGTGGAAAACAATATTTGTTTTACCCAAACTAAAGAATAATAATGTGCATTTGATCAGATATAAATGCAGTACAAGATTATGAGATGCATTATTTGAACGCTTGGCCAAAGAGATGTGTCTTTAATCTAGATTTAAACAGAGAGAGAGTGTCTGAACCCCGAACGGTATCAGGAAGGCTATTCCAGAGTTTGGGAGCCAAATGCGAAAAAACTCTACCTCTCAACAGTAACCAATAGGTGTGAGAGGAAATCTGCGAATTCTTTTAGGAAATCTGTATACGGCCCTGGTGGTCTATACACAGTAGCCAGAGCAAGAGATACGATAGATTTCTTTTGCATATCTGACAGTGTAACATTAAGCAGAAGCATTTCGAATTAGTTAAACCTGTATCCTGTCTTCTGAGTAACATTGAGAATATCAAAGTCAGGTTTCCTTAGAGTCATGTGGTAGAGAGAGTTAGCAATGGACCGTTTTCACAAGACTGTAGCTGTGTCCGAAATCGCATACTTCCATACTATATAGTAGGCGAAAAACAGTATGCGAGGCGAGTAGTATGTCCAAATTCATAGTATTCGAAAAACAGTAGGCGAGAAGTACCCGGATGACCTACGAATAGCATGTACGTAGCATGCATACGATGGACACTTTACTATCCCATGAGGCCATGGAAGAGGAGGTGCCATATTCGAAAATGGCGGAAGGCAGCGACGTGGCTCTTTTCAGGTGTAAGTACCTTAGGGAAAAAGGTTGTTCATTGTCGTTGACTTGCACTTGTTTAACATGATCTAAGTGAACGGCTGACTTATTGAAAGTTTAAACATTGTAAATCGATGAGATGATTTCGTGAATCGGCTGTAAAAAGATGTTTAATCGCCGATGAAAGTAGTAAGTTTTTTTTTTCAAGATGGCGCCGACGCTGATGGCTGCCTCCGTGGCGTGCTCCGCAGTTGTTTTTATGTTTTTGTTAGTTTGTCCTCTCTTTAGTTATATCCCTGCACTCAGTTTCACCAGAGACGAATTGCTGGACATTCGGAAATACACACCACCCGATATTTCACCGGTTTTCGACTATTCTGATGTTTTGCTGGACATTGTAGTTGGGGGAGCTGTGGCGCTGATCAAGCGCTTCAGGACGCGCAGACGGGGGAAGAGAGCCGGCGCGCTCGTGAAGCTCAGGCAGCGCGGATTCAG